ATCTCTCCAGCCTACACACACCCACACACACACACACACACACACACACACACACACACACACACACACTTTTTTTTTAGTTATTTCTAAATTCTAATAAGTAATCAAATGTAACATGTATCTTGATATATGGTCATGTTTTGGTCATTGATGGTCACAAAAACTGAGGTGGTCACATAAGACTATGACAGAAGGGCTGGAGAGATGGCTCAATGGTTAAGAGACTGGCTGCTCTTGCAGGGGACCCGGGTTTGGTTCCCAGCACCTACATGGTGGCTAACAACTGTCTGTAACTCCAGTTCCAGGGGAATCTGACCCCCCCTTCTGACCTCTGCAGGCATTGCACAACACAGGTGCACTTATGCACATGCAGGCAATACACTCAGACACATAAAATATTTTAAAAGACTATGATGGAGGTAAAACATTCCAATCACCTAAATGATGTCCCAGCTGTCAGAACATAGTACAATCATTTCTCACCTCTGTGGAATAAATGAACTTATTGCACTGCCAGCTATCTAAAGTATGACCTGCACAACTGGGTACAGGACATAATGCTGATAATGACAAGCAACCATGTAACTGACCCATACCATCTAGATATGTACACTGAGTTTACACAGTGGTAAAATCATCTAATGATGCAGTTTTTAGAATGTATTCTATTGTTAGGAAGCACATAACTACCTAAAAGACATATTTGTTTAGGGATTTTATTAAATTCCTATTATGAGGCTTATTTTTTTTTTTTTTATTAACAGTTAAAAGTTCAGAGTCATGGCTTAGCAGGCAAAGTGCTTGCTGCAGGGAAGCTGAGTCAGAGTTCTGGAAACATGGCGGAAGGACAGCCAAATCCCCAAAGTTGTCTTGTCTACACACACACACACACACACACACACACACACACACACACAAACACTTTAATGACAATAAAGACAAAGTCTTGAGCTAGGCTGGCTCATGCTGCAATCCCAGCTTTCAGGGGGTGAAGACAGAAGGACTGCAAGTTTGAAGGTGGCTGGGTTACTACTGAGGTCCAAGCCAGTCTGGGCTACAGGGTGAGGCTCAGTTGCAAAAAACCCCAAAAATATAGTTTAAGATAAATCTTAGAAAAAAAATCAGGGAGCTGGAGAGATGGCTCAGCAGTTAACAACACTGGCTGTTCTTGAAGAAGACACAGGTTTGAATCCCAGCACCCACATGGCAGCTAACGACTGTCTGTAACTCCAGCTGCAGGGGATCCTACATCCTCTTTTGTCCTCCGCTGGCATTGCATGACATGGGTGCACTTATATACATGCAGGCAATACACTCAATACACATAAAATAAAAATAATAAGAAAAAATCAGGATTTCAGAACTAGATGAATATAAACTAGAGAATATTTCAAAATAAAATACTTGTGTGTGTAGTAGTTCTTGATCACTTTGTGTGTGTCTGTGCATGTGTGCTTGCCATGTGCACGTATGTTGTGTCTGTTATTGTCTCATGCAGCCTATGCTGGCCTAAAATTTGCCATGCAGCAGATGATGACCTTGAACTTCCCCTCCACAATGCAGGGATGTTAGGTTTGTGCTGCCATGTTTGGCTTTATTTGGTGCTGGGGACTGAATGCAGAGCTTTCTGCACGCACTCTACCAACTGAACTATGCCCTCAGTCCCTCATTTATTTATTATTATATTTAAATGTGTATGAATGTATTGCATGTGTGTAAGTGCACCAGTGTTGGCAATGCTTGTGGAGGTCAGAAAAGGGTTTCGAATTCCCCTGGAACTGGAGTTATAGACAGTTGCTAGCCACCATGTGGGTGCTGGGAATCGAACCCGGGTCCTCCACAAGAGCAGTTGGTGCTCTTAACTACTGAGCCATCTCTCCAGTCACCCTCAGACAATTTCAAAGATACATATATCAGAATTACCTACAAAAAATTTCTTGTCTTTTGCCAAAGCATCAAGTGTAGAACGGCCTATAAAAGCATACGATTCATTTGCATGCTTTTTGATTTCCATAGTGCTTAGCCACTTTGCAATTCGTATTACAAAAAAATGTAAAACTAGGTTTGGTGGCTCACATCTATACTCTCACACTTGACAGGCAGAGGCAGACTGGTGAATTTGTGGCCAGTTGGATTGCAGGGTGTGGTCCAGGGTAGCCTGGGCTTCAAAGTAAGACCCTGTCTCAAAACCACCACCACCACAACCACCACCTACCAAGGGCTGGCAAAATGGCTCACTGGGTAAAGGTACATTTTGCCAAGCCTGATGACCTAAATTCAATCCCTGGTACCCACAGGTGGAAGGCAGGCATGACTCTTGCAAGCTGTTCTCTTCCACACATATGTACACATAAACACACATGCACACTAAATAAGGAAATGTTTAAAAAGTGAAGAATCTGGGTATGGTGGTGGCTTATACCTATAATCCCAGCACTTAGGAGATAGAAGCAGAGGGATCAACATAAGTTTAAGGCTAGCCTGGTCTACAAGGTAAGTTCCAATCAGAACTATATAGCGAGATCTTGTCTCACAAATGTCAAAACCAAAATAATTAATGAGTCCTTGAAGGTATCTTAAAAATATTTTCTCTTCATTACAAAGTCTCCTTTGTGATTTCATTCACAGTGTTTATGACACAAAAAAGTTTTCCAAGTCAAGGGAAATCTTAACCCAGGCTATAGTCGGGTTACCACAGGATCTAATTAGAAATCTGAGTATGACTACATTTAAGCATGCATCTTTTATAGCTTTAGTTCACCTCTCTCTTCCCTCTCCCTATCTCATACTCATTTCCTGAAAACAATTTTGTGTTTGTTTGTGACAGGGTCTCACCAAATAGCTCTGACTGTTCTACAATTCCCCTATGTAGACCAGACTGGCCTGAAACTCAAAGAGACCTGCTTATCTCGGCCTCCTGAGCGCTAAGATTACAGGAGTGTGTCATCATTCCCGGGCAACTTTTTAGGAATAGATTTTCTTGATTACTAGAGATTCTATTAAACTATACAAAGTCATAAAGATTAAGGCAAATGTTTTTATTATTACCTCAATCCCCCCCTCCCCCCCCTCTTTTTTTTAAAGGAAGACAGGCTCTTCCTAAAGCCCCAGCAGGCCTGGAACTTGCTATGTAGACCAGTGTCTTCAGTATCAGAGGTCTGCTTACCTCTGTCTCCCAAATTCTGGGATTAAAGGTGTGTGCCACCACACCAGGCTTTCTCTTTTTCCTTTGACACTCAGCTGGGTATAAGGAAGATAGTGTTCTTTTGTTCCCTGGATATATTTGCTGGACTTGGGGGTAAAGGTGCTGGGGCCTGAACCCAGGGCCTTGCACCCTCTACTACTGAGCTCCACTGCCATTCCCCACTTACTGCATCCCCAACCTGAGAAACAGCTTGTGTTTGGAAGCATTCCTGGCAGCTGTTTGCACTTCCTATTTTGAGTGTCCATCAGGTCACGGTAGAACCTGTCACTGCAGGTTATGATCCTGAGCAAGGCTAGTGTGGGGTGAGAAGGACACCTGAAGCCAGAAACTGTGCGCTTCAATGATTTCAAAAGTTGTACTGCTGAGAGGAGCGCTCTTGTTTCAGAGATAGCATCCTCTTGGGGACTAAAGACGACCACAGACTATGACACAGTAGCTCTGAGCACTGCTAAAAGACCAAAGGACAGTGTAGAGCCTGACAGTGTCTGAAAATTGGCTGGTAGCCATAGCATAGGAGGTAAGATGCCATGGTGTGTGTGCATGTTGAGACAAGTCCACGTAAATGGGGTTGGCCTTGAACTGGACATTCTCCTAAACGCCTTGCCCTTGCTGGGATACTGGCATGCCATTTTAGTATGTCTGACTTGGGGAAGAGCAAGAGGGTTTGATAGCGAGAGATGGTAATTAAATTCAAATCCCTTAATTGGAAGCATGAAAATCACACTCCTATGGATAGACTTACATTATCTCAAAATTCACGTGTTGAAGGCCTGATAGCATGACAGCATTTAGAGATGGGGCCTCTAGAAAGTAATTAAGGACAGAGGAAGCTACTGAGCCAGAGGACTTCCAAATGTGAACTTTGGACAACACAGTTCAGTCAATGGCATTTTGCCCCAGACCCCAAATTCTTATTTTTCTGGCATTGCAAAATACTATTCATTCCACTTCAGAAGACCCAAACTCTAAAGTCTAAAGGTCAAAGTCTCATCTAAATGTCACCTAAAAAGGATATGACAAGATAAAGAGGTACAGTTCATTCTGAGGCCTCCCCACCTATAAGCCCATGAAATCAAGTATGTGCTTCCAAACTGGTGGGTTAGACACAGGACAGTCTTTCCACCTCTGAAAGGAGAAACAGAAATTAAGGAATGGCCATGGCTGCCAAGAATAACTTAGGGAGGTGATTCCTCACTTCTCGGACTCCAGGATAATGCACTTAGTTCTATACTCTGCCTACTGGACCCACTTGAGCTGGGGGCTCCATATGTCTCAGTTCTGGGAGACACTTCCAGGTACCAGGTGAACTATTTCTATGGTTTCTAAGGGCTAACTTGGCCCTCAGTCTCTGTCCTTGGCCCTGTCTCTAAGGCTATGGTTGGAGACTGTGTGGCCTGGTGAAATGGAGCTCTGGTCCTGATGACCTCTGATATACCTTCTAGCTCTTTCCTATTCTCACAAAATAGCTCATGTTTGCAGTAGAGTGGCTCTATGGTCCAGTTCTAAAGGATCTAAGAAGTCAAGCAGCCTTTCTTTCACCTCTGTGCCTTCTGGCCCCTTCCTTCCGGCCAGCAGTATCTCTGCTGATACAATCCCATTTCTATTTTTGGTCTCTGCTGAAGTGACTGATTAAATCCATGAGTCATACCCTTGATCTCGTTATCACATGGTTTTTCTACTGTATCCTTAGTGTTCTCTTCAGAACAAGATTCCTTGTTTCCACACTCTGACAAGGCTGGAACCCTTCACAATCCCTGAGTGTTCCAGTTCCTTTTTGCTAGCAATGCCTTCCTCTGGAGATGGGAACAGCTCAGTTGGTAGAGTACTTCCTAGCATGTTTGAGCTCTAGGCTCGGCCCTCAACACTGCAGACAAGGGACACAAAGTGTGGTGTGGGCTTATACTTTCAGCCACTTGAGCGTGAGATAGGAAAACTGCTTTGAGTTCAAAGTCAGCTTGGGTTACACAGTTTCAAACAGCCTGGACTACAGAGTAAGACCTGCCTTAGAAAAACACAAAATAAAAGTGTTTAATGCCTCAAATTTGTGCTTTTGGACCAGTGAGGCAGCCTGGCAGGTAAAAGTGCCTGCCGTCCAAGTCTGACTGAGCTTGATGCCCTGAAAACAGGTAAAGATGAAAGAACCTAGCAACTCCATACGAATGTCCTCTGACCAGCACACATGGGCTGTATTATGCCTCCCCAACACATTGTGCACACAATCATAAATACTTTTTAAAAAAACAGTGCTTTTCTGGCAATTTAATAATAAAGATGTGACAGAATCAAGAGATACCGTGGTCAAATTCTGTAGCTGGATTTGAATTTTAACTCTACCCAGTCAGCTGTAGAAAATTCTACAAATTACCTAACCTCGGGCTACGTGAGTGTAGAGTGTGTTTGTATGGGTGTACATTGTATATGTGCACATTTGTGTGTGGAAACCTGAAGTCAACTGCAGGCATAGTTTCTTGAGCCATCCAAGTTATTTTATTTATGTTTATGTCTGTGCATCTGTGTACCACGTTCATGCAAGAGCCTAGAGAAGTCATCAGAACCCCTGGAGCTAGAGTTACAGGTGGTTGTGAGCTATCACGTGGGTGCTGGGACTGAACCTGGGTCCTCTGAAAGAGCAGTATGTGTTCTTAAGTGCCATCTAAGCCATATTTCAAGTCCTTCACCTTGTTTTTTGAGACAAGGCCTCACATTAGTCTGGGCTCTCTCTCAGAATAAACTGACCACTGAGCCCCAGGGATCTGTTCCCAACTCCCTAGTACTGGGATTACAGACACACACTGCAGTCCCAGCTTTTTTTTTTTTTAAACTGGGTACAGGGGATCTGCACTCAGGAGCTCATGCTTACACAAATACTTTACTGACTGAGCCCTCCTCATTTGCATAGGGATCCACGATTCCTTTCAGGATTTAAGAAGGTAGTGTGTGAGTCCTGTAACTGAGTATACAGGAAGCCTCAACTATGTGTTATCTAAAGTAGGTTAGGTTGGTGAGATGGCTCACTAGGTAAAAGCACTTGCTGTACAAGTCTCATGAGTTTAATCCCTGGAACTCACAATGGAAGAGAACCTTCTCCTGAAACTTGTCCTGACTTTCACATGCATTCCATGGCATGTTCACATAAACCAACACACACAATAGTAATAATAAATAAGGGAATCTACATGAAGGGCTCTGGTACCGGGTGAAGCAGACAAAGCAGCATTAACAAGTGGTGACATGGGCAGCATAGCTGGCAGCGAGGGAAGGTCCAGCATTAGTTTCTTTTTTAAAAAAAAGTTTATTATTTTTTATTTTATGTGTATGAGTGTATTGCCTGCATGTATGTAAGTGCACCTGTGTTGTGCAATTCCCTAGGAGGTCAGAAGAGGGCATCAGATAACCTGGAACTGGAATTACTGATGGCTTTTAGCTGCCATGTAAGTGCTGGGAATCGAAACTGAGTCCTCTGCAAGAGTCATCTCTCCAGTCCTCCAGCATTAGTTTCTTTAGAATCAGCTCACCTTCAAGAAGACTATAGCATCTCTTATTTTAAAAAGCTGATCCCTGGGCTGGAGAAATGGCTCAGTGAGGAAGGACACTTGCTTTGCAAGTGCTGAGGACCTGAGTTCAAATCTCCTGCACCTACCTAAGAAGTGGGGCATGACTGAGCATATCTGTAATCCCTGTGCTGGGGGGTAGATAGAGGTGGCTCTTCAGTTTACTGTTCTACCTAAAACAGTAAACTTCAGATCTGAGAGACTTTGTCTCAGGGAACAAGCACAAAGTGATCGACCTAGTATCTTCCTCTGGTCTCTGCATGGACATATACCAGGGGTACACCTACAGTCAACACACTCACAAAGTTTTCTTAAAAAAAAAAAAAAAGGCTGATTCTTAGCTGGGCATGGTAATGTATACCTATAGTCCCAGGCCTTATGAGGGAGAAGCAGGAAGATCAGAAGTTCAAAGCCAGCCTTGGCTACATAGAGTTTGAAGCCAGCCTGGAGTATACAAGATTTTGTTCCCCAAAACAAATGACCACAACAAAACCAAAAGAAGAACCATGACTATGCACCGCCACATCACCCTGAACACAACCAGTCCCTCTGCTCTCACCTAAGCCGGGTGGGCTTGGTTAGCACTTGGAAGGAAAAAAAGTCCCGTGTGGTGGCTCATGTCTGGAATTCTAGCACATAGGGGGCTGAGGCAGGAAGATCTCCAGGAATACCAGGCCAGCCTGGGCTACTAAATGAGACTGTCTCAAAAAACAAACAAAAGAAGCAAAGGCTGATTCTCTGGCTTATAAAGACCCTAGACAGAAACTGAGAGAAAAGGAAGGAAGTGAGGAGATGAAAATCAAGCTAACGAAAGTGTTGGTAATGTATCAGGAACTCCTCTTCAGAAACAGAGTGCTTCTCTCTGGCTCTATTTGTAGAATGCTTCTAATATTGCCCGTCAGGCACATGTAGAATTTTGGCAATTCTCCTTTGCACAATGCCTTATTCAGAATTTAGGAATACAGTCTGGCAAGATGGCTTGGTGGGGAAAAGCACTTGCTGCCAAGCCAGAACTCCTGAGTTTGATTTCCCAGGACTCGTGGTAGAAGGAGAGAACCAACTCCTGCAAGCTGTCCTCTGACCTTCAAACACATAGTGTGGCACATGCATACACATAAACATAATAAATAAATAAATATGATTTAAAAAACCCCAGGAACAAAGGCCCAGGGAACATTATGGAAGAGTGGAAAGAACGCAGAGCTGGAGGCTAAGAAGTGCTGTCTTCTGGACTGACATGGTCACTGTACTCATGAACTCATAGCAGCTGTGCTAACCTGCACACCATCCAGCCGGCCCAAATTCCAGCACAGATGGAGGAGTTCACACACCCCATCCCCAACTGAAGAGCTATTGGCAGCCAACAGCTACTAGGGGAGGGAGAATCACTCTCCTTTGGGAGGGGGTGGGCTGTGGTAGGTTGCCCATGCTCCAGTGGATGGCCCCACACCCATGCACATACAGCCTGCAATACAGGACTTGGTGGGTTATTTAAAAACAAAAAAAGACTGAACATTGCCCCAAGAGCCAAAACTAAATGGGAATTGGAAAACAAAACAAACAAACCCCCCAAAACAAAACAAAAAACAAAAGGCACAGGATATGTTGGAGGGGTCTGGGGGTGATGAAGGGGGAAATGGCAGGTGGATATGATATTTCATTGTATAAATGTATGAAATTCTCAAAGAATATGCTTTTTTTAATAGGAAAAAAAAAACCCAGGGGTTGGAGAGATGGCTCAGCAGTTAACACTTGCTGTTCTTCCAGAGGACTGGGGTGAAGTCCCAACACCCACATGGCAGCTAACAACCACCCATAACTCCAGTTCCAAGGGATTTTATACCCTCTTCTGGCCTCTGCAGGGCATTCCATGCATGTGGTACACTTACACAAATACAGGCAAGACACTCATATTTATAAAATAAAAATAAATAAAATATTAAAAAATTAAATCATGAAAACAAAATTAAAAACCCAAAAGTTAGGAATAAGTTGGTGCAACTTTGTGAAGAATGCATCAATATGGGGGAGATTCAACACATTTCAATGAACCTCATTTTTTTCAAATGGAATGACTGAATTTCCTATAAATATTTAAAAAACACTGTGATATGTGGCTCTGATTAGGCAGGTCAAGCTCTACCAGCTTTCTGCTCTGTGAATTTGGCAGCAGTCCTTAGTGAAAAGCAATAAAATTTGACCTGCTCTGTCTAACATCACCAACCTTGTCATTTTGTTCTTAATACTCTTAAAAAAGCTACTTCGTGTACTTGTCCAGCAGCACATATACTAAAATTGGAACTATACAGAGAAGATCAGCATGGCCTCTGCATAAGGGTGACATGAAGCCTTCCATATTAAAAAAAAAAAAAAAAGTTACTTTGTGTTAAGGCTACTTAGAACTGCCTGAAAATAGAATTTGAGAATTTAGTAAGACTCCTTTCTAAAGAAAACACCTACTTTCAAAACAATTGTTATTTTCTTGTGCACAAAGCTGTATTACAGAGTCTCCTAACACAGAATGGTGTTACCTGTTCCATTGTTGAGCCCTCGACCTTAAATTTAAAATATACTATTCAAGTTTGTTTTCAAAACATTGTATTAGGACAAGATGACTCACTGGTAAAAGTGTTTGCCATATAAGCCTGATGGCCTGAGTTTGATTCCAGATCCCTTTGTGGAAGGACTCCAGAAATTTGTCCTCTGACCTCTACATGGTATGCCTGTACTCACACATACATATCTACACAAACAATAATTAAAAAAACAGTAACTGTTTCATGCATGGATAATGGGGGTGGGGTGGAGTGGGGAGAGGGAAGGACAACAAAGTACAATAGCACTTCTTTTTTTGTTTTTGTTTGGTGGGGGCGTTGAGATAGTGTCTCACTATGTAGCCCTGGCTGGCCTGGAACTCACTATGTAGACCAGGTTAGTCTCAAATGCACAAAGATCTGCCTACCTCTGACCCCTAAGTGCTGGGATTAAAGGCCTGCGTCATCACACCCAGCCTACAATGATATTTCTATATGAAGAAACCTTACTTTGTATACTAACCTAAAAATTTAAGAACAAAAGTCATTAATTCTCTGATTTCCTTCTTGACTTGGTAGTTATTGAAGACATTTAAATGAACGTTCAGTATTTGGGTAATTTTACTAAAAAATTCCCAGTTAGAGGCTGGAGAGATGGCTCAGAGGTTGAGAGCACCTGCTGGGTCTGACTGCAGCTCCCAGTGCCTATATCAGTGCCTCACAGTGGCCTGTAGTTCCAGTTTTCAGGAGCCAGCGCACACACACACACACACACACACACAAAATAAACCTTAAATTACATAGTTCCAGCTACGTTTTTCAATGTGTTGTTAATGTGTTAACTACACAAAATACTCCTTTTAAGAATTTAAGTTATTCCTCTATGATTTGTTATTATTCTAAAAAAAAAAAAAATCTCCCAGGCCAGCAGAGTCTCTGTCAACATTGCCTTATCAGATCTTTCTTGATTCTTTCCTCAGGGTACAACCATTTCCCTCCTGGTGCTCTGGCTATGGTTCATTCTCTCTCCCCCTCTCCTGTTCCCACTTCTCTGTCCCCCAGTTTTAATTGTGTGTATGTGCAAGTGAACAAGTGAATGCAGGTATCCATCAAGGTTAGAGGCATCAGATCCCCTAGAGTTGGGAGTTAAAGGCCATTGTGGGTAGCCTGATGTGGGAGCTAGGAATCAAACTTGGGTCCTATGGAAGGGCAGCAATCAATCTATCTGATAACTGTTGAGGCAAAATTTTATTAAAATAGTAAAACAGTAATTTATAAATACGAAAATTAGCTTTCATTACCTAATGTAGTCCACTGTCCAGAAGAATTTGAAAGTAACTGCAAATTTGGAATAACATTTGGGTCTTTGAAAAAAGCCTAAAATGTAAATTGTGGGGGAACATGTTAGAAACTTTATTATAAATAACAAATTAACTTCTGAAACAAAAGTAAAACATCATTTAATTCAAAGTAGGATGAACATTATTTACCTCTTTAAAAAAATGGTTTATTTGTGGTACTGGGTATGGAACTCAGGGCCTCGTGCATTACCTAAGCAATATTCTACCACTGAGCTACATCCCATTCTTTTTTTTTAACTTTTAAAAAAATTTTTACTTGTATGGGTGTATTGCCTGCATGTAGGTAAGTGCATCCATGTCGTGCAATTCCCACGGAGGTCAGAAGAGGCTGTCGGATCACCTGGGACTGGTGTTATAGACAGTTGTTAGCTGCCATGTGGGTGCTGGGATTCAAACACAGATCTTCTGCAAGAAGAGACAGTGCTCGTAAGTGCTGAGCCATCTCTCCAGTCCCCTTTGTTTTTATGAGGGGGGGGTCTCATTAAGTAGCTCAGGTTGGCCTTGAATTTGCTATGTAGCCCAAGTTGGCCTTGAAATCTCAATTCTCTGGCTTCAACTATGTGCTAGGATTACAGGTCTGAACTACTTAGTGTAGCCTGAAGGACAACTTTATTTTTGCTTTTTGGAGACAGGTCTCCTGTAGCCAGGCTAGCCTTGAACACACTTGTAACTCTCTATGTACCCAAGGATAACCCTGAACTCCTGATCCTCCTGCTCTAAGAAAGCCTTTTCTTCCAAATTCTTTGAAACTTTTTGTTCATGAGAAGGAATTCTAATCTTTAATTTTCCCCCACACATCCTTTAAGATTTGTTGATGAAAAAGCCCTGATGCATTCCCAACCTGACGGCCTGGGGCAGCAGAGCTCTGCTCTTTAGCAAACCTTTTTTCCCCTTCCTTTACACTACTTCTTTAAACTAGCCAACCAGGAAGACTGAGGTTGGACCCCAGCCAATGGAGAACAGCACTCTTGCATTAGGGATCAGGTATGCTTGCTGGATCTGAATGACCACGCAGCTCACCCTTTTGCAAAAAAGCTGCCTTGCCCAGTTACTTTCCCTTTGTCCACATGCTCTGTGTTGGACCTCAGGTTTTATTTCTAACACTGCATCTCTCTCAAGTGTTGAGCTTACAGGTATCTACCATCATACCAGTTGGAAGAACTTTAAATTGGCAAAAGGTCAAGTAACAAATGTTTTATAAAGAAATGAAATCAAGGGATGGCAAGATGGTTAAGAGGATAAAACTACACAAGCCTGGTGTCTTAAATCCAATCCCCGGGTCCCACATGGCAGAACTGACTCCTGAAAGTTGTTCATTGATACCCACATGTGCACTATGGCACATTTGCTCTCTCTCTTACACAGAGTCAATTTTTTGTTTGCTTGATTTCAACAGGGTCTTCCTGTAGCCCCAGCTGGCCTGAAACTTGCTATGGAGACCAGGCTGGCCTTGAACTCACAAAGACCTGCCTAACTCTGCCTCCCAAGTGCTGGGATTAAAGATGTGTGCCATCACGCCTGGCAAATAATCATATTTTTAAAACTTAAAAAAAAAAGCTGAGTATAGTAGTATATGCCTTTAGTCCCAGTTCTCAGGAGGCAGAGGCAGGCAGATCTCTGTGAGTTTGAGGCCAGTCTGGTCTACACAGTGAATTCTAGCCACTGCTGCACAGTGAGACTCTGTCTCAAAAACACAAAACAAAAAACCCCAAATAAATGAATAAAAATTATGCAGTCAAGCCAGGTGTGGGCACCCACCTGCAACCACTATACTTAGGAGGGTTGGAAAATGAAGGCCAGGCCAGGCAGGCACAGTGGCGCACACTTTCTATCTCAGCACTTGGGAGGCAGAAGCAGGTTCATTTCTGTGAGTTCGAGGTCAGTCTGGTCTATATAGTGAATTCCAGGTTAGCTGGGGCTATAGGAAAATACTGTCTCAACCCCTCCCTGCCCCCCAAAAAAGAGTTCAAGTCCAGTCTGGGAGAGATGACTCAGGACTTTAATCCTAGCACTTGAAGCTGGGTAGGGGTAGAGGCTGGTGGATCTCTTTGAATTTGAGGCCAGCCTGGTTTACATAGGCAGTTCTAGGCCAGCTGGGCTATATAGTGAGACCTTGTCTCAAAAAAAAAAAAAAAAAAAAAAGTTCAAGGTTAGCCTCTGCTACATAGCTAATTTAAGGCTAGCTCTGTCTCTAAAGCAAAACAACAATGCACACGAAATCCAAGTCTTCGCCAGTTTGGTTGGAAAACTTAAGTCCCAAGCTTATTGTTTCGTTGTTGGGGACTGAACCTAGGGCCTCAGGTATCTTAAACACTTGCTTTGTCACCCAGCACTAGATGGAAGGGGGTTCCTGGCATTTTGTAGAAGTGGGTATGTATGGGGGATGGTGGGCATGTGGGGGTGTTCAACTTGGGACTGTCTAAAAACAAAGGCTAGAAATTATTCCCAGTTCACATGGGAGTTCAAAACATGGTAGGCAGCTAGAAAGCAGTGTCCATGATGATCAACAGATTGGGAAAAATATAGTCCAGCAGACTATATTTTGGAGTTCTGAAAACCAGTAGGTAATCTTTATGTGTATATTTAAAATTTTGTGTGTCAAAACCTGGAAAGAACTTCAGTATCTATCAGCTGAAGAACAGCTGAACAAAATAGAGCACATTTTTATCACAGGACTGAGCCACTATGAAGTATTAAAGGGCCAGTGAGATGGTTCAGCAAGGAAAGGTACTTGCTGCCAGGCCCAATAACTTCAGTTCCATCCCTTGGGCCCACATGATGGAGAAAGTCAATCCCTGCAAGTTATCCTCTACCTCCCCACATTCACTATGGTATGCCTGTCCCTCTTACCCAAATAAATAAATAGAAGTTTTTTAAAAAAGTGTTAGAGCCAGGCATGGTGGTGCACACCTTTGGTCCCAGCACCCTGGAGGAAGAAGCAGGCTGAAGGCCAGCCTGGTCTACATAGATAGTTCCAGGCCAGCTGGGCTATAGGGAGACCTCGACTTAAAAAGTACTAGAATGCTACCTTCCTAAAGAGGGCCCTGTTCTTCTTTTGCATTGGTATAGTCCCAGGGTGAGTAACAGGGCCTGTGTGCATTTACTCAAACATTCGTTGAATGGACAGAGTGGAAACTTTGAGATTCATGTAGCCCAGGCTGGCTTCAAACATGGGAAGATCCTCCAGCCTCTGGCTCCTGAGTCCTAGGATTACAGATGTGTGCCACTAGGCCTAGCTAATAAATCACTTCTTTAAAAAACATACATATGCATTGGAAAGATGGCTAAGCAGTAAAGATCCTGGCTGATCTTGCAGAGGACATGGGTTTGGTTCCCAGCACCTACATGGTAACTAATAATTGTCCGTAACTCCTGCATAGGGCATCTGATGCCTTCTTCTGGCCTCCATGAGCCCTGCATGGCATGGGTGTACTTACATACAAGCAGGCAAAACACTCATATACATAAAATTAGAATAAATTTAAATTATATGCATTTGTTTTGTTCATATGTGTGTACCCATACCGCACTAAACACGTGGAAGTCAAAAGCAACTTTCTGGAGTTGGTTCTCTCCTTCCACTGTGTGGGTCTGAAGATAGGTCATCAAAACTAACAGCAAACACCTTGACCCACTAAGAAATCTTGCTAGCCCCTAAATAATTTAAAGGAAGAATGTAAGCTATGGGTCTTTTTTTCTACCACTCATTCCTTTATATCTGGCTCTTGTTCCCTTTATTTAACTAGACGGACCCATGCCTTCCTAATTCCAAAATCCAGTGGACATGTTGATTGTCCATGAGGACTTTATAGAATAAAAGGTGAGTGGATTTTGCTGGGCAAAGAGGTACCAAATATTGGTAAATGCTGAACTATGCCTCCTCTTACTCTAACAAAAACCCTGATTTCCATCTTCCAGAAGTTTAGTATGAACAAAGATTACTAAAAATTTAGTGAGCAATCTCAGCTGTGATGAGCTGCTTCCATCATGCCACTGGGGTCTCCCCGCCCCTTTTGATTTTCCAAGACAGGACATCACTATGTAGGCCTGGCTGGCCTGCAACTCAAGTTATGTCAACAGACCAGGTTGGCCTTGAACTCAAGAGCTCTGCCTGCCTCTGACTCCAGAGTGATGGGATTCATGATATGCACCACGGCTGGCCTTGGAAAGCCCCTATGAAGGAAGAGAAAATGGTAAGAAAGGACGGCTGCCTCTTCAGGAGTAGAGGGTTAGTGTGACCACAGAAGGAGCCAGAGTCAGATGAAGTGGTGAGCTGAATTGGACCTTGCAGAAAACAATCTTAATCTCAGTCTAAAATTAGCTGTGTCTTAACCTGGCTTTTGATTCAAGGGCAGCAAGGAGCACACTGCTGAACTGTCAGCCCAGGAAGGTGTGATCAGAATCCTTTTGTTGACACTGGAACTAATGTAGTCCAGGCTGGCCTCAAACTCTACTAGCTAAGAATGACCTTAAACTTCTTATCTACTGCCCAAGGGCTGAGATTGCAGGAGTTTGCCATTGTGCTGAGTTCTATATGGTACTAGGGATGGAACACAGGGGCTTCTTGCATGATAAACTTCTTATCTACTGCCCAAGGGCTGAGATTGCAGGAGTTTGCCATTGTGCTGAGTTCTATATGGTACTAGGGATGGAACACAGGGGCTTCTTGCATGCTAGGCAAGGGTTCTACCAGTGAATACATCCCCAGACCCCAAAAATCTGATTTTTCATTCTATTGAAAGTGCATTGCTATTGAGTGTATGGTGTGCATGTGCTATGTGCAGAGGACAACTTTGCAGAGCTGACTCTCCTTGCAACTTCATGTGGGTTCCAGGGATGGAACTCAGGTCACCAGGCAATACCTTTACCCTCTGAACCACCTTGCTGGTTTCAGAACCCTAAATTCATTCTGGATATGATGGCACACTCCTATAATCCCACCACTTGAGGTGAAGGCCTCATCAATGTAAGGAATTTGAAGCCAGCCTAGGTTACAAGTGACACTACTTCAAACCA